CCTCCCTATAGGCTGTCTCATCGTTGTCGGTGATCAGGCCTACCACTGTTGTGTCGTCTGCAAACTTAATGATGGTGTTGGAGTCGTGCCTGGCCATGCAGTCATGGGTGAACAAGGAGTACAGGAGGGGACTGAGCACGCACCTCTGAGGGGCCCCCGTGTTGAGGATCAGCGTGGCAGATGTGTTGTTACCTACCCTTACCACCTGGGGGCGGCCCGTCAGGAAGTCCGGGATCCAATTGCAGAGGGAGGTGTTTAGTCCCAGGATCCTTAGCTTAGTGATGAGCTTTGAGGGCACTATGGTGTTGAACGCTGAGCTGTAGTCAATGAATAGCATTCTCACGTAGGTGTTCCTCTTGTCCAGGTGGGAAAGGGCAGTGTGGAGTGCAATAGAGATTGCATCATCTGTTGGGGCGGTATGCAAATTGGAGTGGGTCTAGGGTTTCTGGGATAATGGTGTTGATGTGAGCCATGACCAGCCTTTCAAAGCAATTTAGTATTAACACTGGAGTGATAAATGTGCAGAAGATGATGTGCAAATACTGGGGTGCAAATGAGAAAAATAAATAACAATATGGGGATGAGGTAGTTGGGTGGGCTAATTATAGATGGGCTGTGTACAGGTGCAGTGATCAGTAAGCTGCTCTGACAACTGATGCTTAAAGTTAGTGAGGGAGATAAGAGTCTCCAGCTTCAGAGATTTTTGCAGTTCGTTCCAGTCATTGGCAGCAGAGAACTGGAAGGAATGCCGGCCAAAGGAAGTGTTGGCTTTGGGGAAGACCAGTGAGATATACCTTCTGGAGCGTATACTACGGTTGGGTGTTGCTATGGTGACCAATGAGCTAAGATAAGGCGGGGATTTGCCTAGCAGTGATTTATAGAGGACCTGGAGCCAGTGGGTTTGGCGACGAATATGTAGTGAGGGCCAGCCAACGAGAGCGTACAGGTCACAATGGTGGGTAGTGTATGGGGCTTTGGTGACAAAACAGATGGCACTGTGATAGACTACATCCAATTTGCTGAGTAGAGTGTTGGAGGCTATTTTGTAAATGACATCGCCGAAGTCAAGGATCGGTAGGATAGTCAGTTTTACGAGGGCATGTTTGGCAGCATGAGTGAAGGAGGCTTTGTTGCAAAATAGGAAGCCGATTCTAGATTTAACTTTGGATTGGAGATGCTTAATGTGAGTCTGGAAGGAGAGTTTACGGTCTAACCAGACACCTAGGTATTTGTAGTTGTCCACATATTCTAAGTCAGACCCGCCGAGAGTAGTGATTCTAGTCGGGCGGGCGGGTGCAAGCAGCGTTCGATTGAAGAGCATGCATTTAGTTTTACTAGCATTTAAGAGCAGTTGGAGGCTACGGAAGGAGTGTTGTTTGGCATTGAAGCTTGTTTGGAGGTTTGTTAACACAGTGTCCAATGAAGGGTCAGATGTATACAAAATTGTGTCGTCTGCGTAGAGGTGGATCTGAGAGTCACCAGCAGCAAGAGCGACATCATTGATATACACAGAGAATAGAGTCGGCCCGGGATTTGAACCCTGTGGCACCCCCATAGAGACTGCCAGAGGTCCAGACAACAGGCCCTCTGATTTGACACATTGAACTCTATCTGAGAAGTAGTTGGTGAACCAGGCGAGGCAGTCATTTGAGAAACCAAGGCTATTTAGTCTACCAATTAGAATGCAGTGATTGACAGAGTCGAAAGCCTTGGCCAGGTCGATGAAGACGGCTGCACAGTACTGTCTTTTATCGATCGCGGTTATAATATAGTTTAGGACCTTGAGCGTGGCTGAGGTGCACCCATGACCAGCTCGGAAACCAGATTGCATAGCGGAGAAGGTACGGTGGGATTCGAAATGGTCGGTGATCTGTTTGTTAACTTGGCTTTCAAATACTTTCGAAAGGCAGGGCAGGATGGATATAGGTCTGTAACAGTTTGGATCTAGAGTGTCACCCCCTTTGAAGAGGGGGATGACCGCAGCAGCTTTCCAATCTCTGGGGATCTCAGACGATACGAAAGAGAGGTTGAACAGGCTAGTAATAGGGGTTGCGACAATTTCGGTGGCAAATTTTAGAAAGAAAGGGTCCAGATTGTCTTCCCCCGGAGAAGTGGCCATTCCCCAAACGATTTAATAAAATGTCATATTGCATTCCGTCTTTTTGTTAATTCAGTTAAGCCTGTACTCGATTGAACTAGAGAGGGTGCAAGTGAAAGGGAGCGGGAGAGAGAGAGAGCGAGAGATAGACAGATAGAGAAATATTTAGAGGGAGAGCGAGTGTTGGGAGTGAAGGCGGAAGATGGACGGTAAAAAAAAGCATGTCGAGGAATCAACCCCTAAACTCCACAGTCGTTTTAGATTGAGCTCTTCTGTGGGAGGGAGGGAGACTTTCCGTCAGTGACATGGAAACTCCCTCTTTAAATTCCTCTCTCTCTCTTCCGGACGGTGCTACCACCCCTGCTGCCGCTACACCAGCTCTCTCTTTATGGGAACGCCGCCATGCATGTTATTTCAGAGAAAACACAATTTGGAGTAACTGTTCCCCCGGCCTTCACCCCCACCTCTGTAGCGAGTCTGCAGCCGCATCTGGCTGGAGCGTCAGGCTGGAGAGGAAATCTCCTAGCAAAGCAGAAGTGACAGGCTGCAGAGAGAGGTAATATTGTCTGACACGTGGCATTGGGACCCCCTCACCTTCACTGAACACATTCAGCACACAGCAAATGGAAGGGAACGCAGGCGGAGCCCTCTGGTACAACAGCTCTCTGCTTGCCTCTAAGTACATATTACAGGGTTATCAGAGGTGCGGATTACTCCGGAAATGAGTTTGGGGTTTGGGAAAGTGGCAAGCCCTCCAATGTAATGTATGGTGAAGCAGCAGGGAAGCCTCTTATACAAAAGTAGGCTGCCTTCCTAGAGCTGGGACGATAAAACGAAAATGATCAACACCGATCAAACCGACCACTTGTCTTGGACATTTTGCTGATATCGTTCATTACGATAAATAACCTATAGGGTTCTACTAGAGAAATGTGAAGTTTGAAATGAAATAAGTTTTGCTAATATGGTTGGTTGATTGTTGATGGGACAATTGATAGCTACAACATTTAAATGTGTAGTATTAATAGTTTTAAGGGTAATATAAAAAAAGAACTGTGGTGCAAAATAATGTTAAGCTTATCGTTCAATTTATTGTTATCGTAATAATTCAGTCAATTTATCATGATATGGATTTTTGTCCATATCACCCAGCTCTATGCTTTCCTCTAAAGTACATTCAAAACTGTCATCAAGTCTTAGCATGTTTTAGAAAAGGTGCCATTAGCCACATTGACATTTTCAGCATGGCATTCACTGGGTGCAGCAATGACAACATGAAAAGCTTTTCATTCATTTCTCAAAGAGACAAAAAAATTGGCTTATTGTTGCAAAGGTCAATGGGACTTACAAGCAGAGATAACAACATTAATTAAACGAAGCCGGCTCCTCAGAACCAATCGACGAGGGGTTTTGATGAGAATGGATCCATCGGAGTGGTGCCAAATCCCCTAGTCACCGGGCTCTGTTACTGGTTAGAGAGCCACCCATAATGAAACAACGGGAGATTGCCTGTCAATCATCTCCTGAATATCAAAGGGAGCTTTACCCAAAATACCCTCCTGTTCCGCATTCAGCAGAATGTCACAGAAGGTAAATATTAACATTCCCTGTTGACATCTTTCAATGCTCTGATGATGGGAAGGTGGGAAGAAATAGCTTTTTAGCGTATTGCAGTGTAGGGAAGTTCAACATTCTACAAGTCCCAACTCTGATCCTACCCGTCATAGTAATGTTAAAGCCTGGGCTGTAATAGCAGCTGGCAGACCATGTGGTGGCCCATGATTAGGCCAACTAGGAGATGTGCAGTGACCTAAAAGCCCTTGCTGCTCTCTGGTTGTAGCATAGTGGTGCAGTAGGTTTAGAAAAGCCCATGGTACAGTAAGGGCATAGCCTGGTTTAGTGTAGCGTGAGAGAGTTGAAAATGAAAATGTATGCACTCACTAACTGTAAGTCGCTCTGGAAAAGAGCGTCTGCTAAATGACTAAAATGTAAAATGTAAGAGATCTAAGGACAGCTCAATCAGATCAGCAGTGGCTGTTCGATAAACAGAGGGAATGTGGAGGGGTAACTTTGTGTTTGGGGAGGAGGTGAGGGAGAGATTGGGATAGAGGGTGTCATTGCTGTCACGTTAGCTCTGTGTGATGCAGCTCTCCAGGTCCCCCAAGCAGCTGCGGTCTGTTTGGGATGGGGGGGGGACAGGGGGGCAAGCATACACCCCCCCCCCCCCCCCCCCCCCCCCCCTACCGGTTGTGTACTATAATCAGATACATGTACTATGTACATGCTCATACACAGATGAACACAAGCACACACTCACACACAAACATATATATTTGACGAGGTTTGGCTCCAGCACCATGTGAATGTCTTAATATAAGGCTGGATCAGGACTAACATTCCTAGAGGGCTGTCATGGCTGTATCCCATCATTACCAGGGCCTATCATTACCATGACCTAAAGAGTAGAGTAGCGCAGCACAGCGGGAAGCACATCACCACTCCATACGCATGCACATCATCACCCACAGTACTGTAATGCAGCTGGAGTGTTCAACAGCTCTGACTGCCTTCTCTTCTATCCACTAATGTGTTTTCATGAATCCCTAGTAGATTACAGGAATCCATTTCAACAGCCTACACAGATTGCAGAACATTTAGAGCGTGCTATCTGAACTAGTAATTGTTCATTATCATTATAACAGTGTTACAGACCCAGTCAGCTCTTTGCTTACGTGCATTTTAATTGACCTATTCTGTTTAACACTAATCCCATCTATCCTCTGTCTTATCCTGAAATCCTGCATCTAAATCCAACTGCATGCACACAGGGCACCACAGGGAATACTGATCTCAAACATGCACGCACGCATACATACACACAAGTCCCTGAGGTTACTAACCTTTCCTTGAAGTCTATGAAGATCTTCCCCAGACCGTTGCCTCCGCTCACCATGTTGAGGTCGATGGCCCTCAGCAGAGCAAAGTGGACCTTAATCACATCCTGTATGGGGTACAGCACAACCATAGTCATCATGGGTCACACCAGCACAACAGCTCCATCAGCTCCATACTGACACTAGGATTACACTCAACAGTACTCACCTCGAGATTTACAAAGATGGACTCCATGTCTTGTGGACTGAGAACTTGCTTCAAAGGGATCATATAATTCTGTAGAATACCAAAACAGTACAATTGAGAAGTTAAAAGAACTTTTATGGCAATATACAGTAGGCCTAAAGTACAAACATAATTGACTGAACCTGTTGACATTGTAAACAAATCGGTAGTAGTGTTAAGTTGTATATTAAACAGCAGTTCAATCCAATAGCATTCGCTGGGGGCGCCAGGAAAATCGATCATAAAACAGGCTTCACTATAATGTGTTGCTGCTAGGTGTTAGTAGCTTAATCATTATCTTACATACACGTGTACCCATTTATTTGAAGTACCCATGACGTGCTGTGAGTACGAACCACTGATTATGTTCACTGGCACAAACCTTCCCTGTTGTTTTAATAACGTTATTGTATGCTTGTCACATTACATCATCTTAATGATAACAAATAGAGCCATTAAAATGTAATGAAGATATGATGGCTTTATTAACCCCAACTCAATCAAGCCCAAACGACTCCTCTGATTATAAGAAGGTGATTCTGGTTTAATTGCATGTTTGTCTAGCTCAGCAAACACAAACACACCCTTAATGTAATGGAACCAGTGGAGTGGATCATGTCTAACTGTCCATCAAATTGAGAATAATCTCTTTCTCATCATGGAGAAGCTGCTGTTTTACCGCTGACATCATTTAAAACCCTGGGAGAACTGTGTGTGTCTGTGTGTGTACACATAGAGCCCTGGAGATCAGTCTCTTCCCATGGGACTATGCCAATAATGAGCCTATCGATCTGCTCCATAGACATTTGTCCTCTCCAATGAACCTGCCAATAGCTGACATTTCCACACCGCTCCCTTCCTGAGGCCTGACACAGGAGATGTGACAAAACACACCTGCTCTAGCAGCGAGCTACACCCAACACTGCAAGCCAGCCAGCCACCGCACACACACACACATATGCAGATATGTACATAAACGTAAGTACACACACACACACACACACACACACACACACACGTTTCCCTAGCTCTGTCCCTCACCCACCTTCTCAATGTCCTCCAGCGTCTTGTAGTACTTGGCCTCGGTCTCCTGGATCTCCACTAAGCAGCAGTTTCTCTTGTCGTCTTCTGTCATGCCCATTTTCTGTGGAGGTAATTAACGACAGGAAAAGTGATGCTGGGCTGTCATTATGTCATTACACGTCCCTGACAAGGTAGTTCATGTGTCTGATTGTCTAATGATGGGTCTCAAACGTGTAGGGCTGCTATTTAGGCATGTAATATAATTATTACCAATCATATGGCTTGATGTATGCTAGAAAATTGTACTGTATAAATACTGTGCAAACTGTATATGATAGAATGTACAATATTCATCATTATCCAAATAGATATCAACATCTGCGGAATTCATTAGGTAACAAGGACACACAAAGGACACAATGTATTTTCCCTTTGAGTTACATTCATCAATGTACAGTAACCAATGCTTATAGGGAGGTGTGACTGTCAACATTACCAGACAGGGGGATTCCAGAACAGAACCCAGCTACACCCAGAGGCCCTGCAGCACTGCATCCAAACCACTCAATTTGATGAGCACTTTTAATGAAATGAGCCCAATTCTCACTCATCCCTCCAACATGATCCAATAGAATATGATACTTCTGATTAACTGTAATTGCTGGGACCCGGTCGTGTAACGCAAGCCGATTGGCCGTGTTGTGGGAAGTGGTGACATAAACGCTGGAACTGGGGGATTTGTATGAGTTCAGTGCTGGCAGGTTTGCTCACAGGCAAGTGCTAATGAACATCTGTGTCTGCAGCTCTGTATCTTTGGGAACATCTGGGGCCAGGCACAGTGCAGAGCAGAGCGGGGCCAGGGAGTGTGGACCAGCCAAGGCAAACACCCTGCCCACGGCATCCAGATTCATTTAGCAGCGCAAACAGGCCCCCCATTAGGGAGGGGGAGAGGATGAGGACAGGGAAAACAAACAGAGGGAGGCCAGCATCTCATGGGGCCTACGGCTGGGGGGGAGGTAGGGGCGCTGAGGAGGGGAAGGCTGGCTAGCCCAGCAGCATCGGTTCAGTGAATCACAATGCAATGCAAAAGTGAGAGACCGGTGAAAAAAATAACATCTGCGACTGTAACAGACGGATAAAACGACCCTGCCAAAATCTCTCACATCATCTCCATCACAATTGTTTGGGCGGCTGCAACTGTCAGCAGTCTTGGTTGTTGTGTTGAGAGGAGTATCATTCTATTGTGTCATCTGGAACAGAACTGAATGTTTATAAACAGTTCTGATAATACAACAGGGGGGTAATCAAGTCAAACCACAGTCAATTAGAGACTCAGTGGCCCAGATCCAGCTGGGTATTAGAAAACAATCACCCAATCAGGCATGCTGGAGAGCACAGCTACAGAGCTGACATAGGAACTGATGAAGGCTGTATTGGGGTTTGATCTGGCTTCTTTTGATGACGTCATATAGTGTCACTGTCATGGTGTTGATGGTGATATGGTGATGTCATGGTGAGTCACACACACAGGGGCAGATGGGGTATTCTCTTGACCTGTGCTGTGTGCCATTGATCTAATGGTGTGGTCATCTGAGGGGAAGGGTGTTGTGGGGACATGTCAGACTCAGACAGACTGATGGACAGAGCTGGATGACAGATCGGTGAGTCAGGGCACTTACCTGCATGTATCTGATCTGCAGCGTAAGGAAGGGAAAAACATAAGAGATGAGCAGAGCAGAATAGAACACACACCGACAGATAGAGAGCATCAGAGAGGACACAGACACCCACGTACACAGATAGAGAGACAAGCAGAGAATTACACAAACACACACACACACACACAAAGCTCTTACCATGGGTTGTCGTACTTCCACCTTGATGATGTCCTCGTAGATGTCATCTCCATCGTCCTCACAGGGAACACAGTCGTAGATGTCATCCTCCCCCACGTCATGCTCACTGGGGAACACACACACACACAGTCAGTTATCAAATTGCAAATTCCTCTGAAAGGGTGATCACGACACTTAAGACTGAAGGTTAACCACAACATTGAGATCAGATTAGGCACTTGACACTTCGCTGAGTGCTAAACTAACTGTGGGTTCCCATTAGCCATCATCAGCAGGGCTGAGGAGTCAGGAAGTCAGCCACAGTGGTGATCTATCTCATTTCCATCCCACTTCACTCTTCACAACCACTCCACAAACATGTCTCTCTAATGTACGACGCCCATTACTACCAGAAGTTGAGGGTCAGCCCAGTAGATAACAATGTAGTGAGATCCCATATAAGGGTTGCAGCGGTACAGAGTATGTCACACAACCAAAAGACAGGAGTTGAAAAGCATTTCTGTGTATTCACTATGGGTGGAGTTGTGCGCATGTGTATGTTTATGTGCATGTGTATGTGCGTGCTTATGTAAGTGTGACACAGAAGGAACCCAGTGCCCTCCCTGACAGCTTCAGTGTACATCCAAGATTGGAGGCAAGATCAATTCAGCACCAGGAGCCTTGGATCCATGTGTGCCTCCTCACCCCAGTGACAGCCTCAGTGGCATCCATCAGCTCACACCCAGCCATCATCCTCTAGGTCACACACGGCTCCGTCTCATCCTGGACCGTCTTAAACCAGCCTGACAACTATAAAATATGTCTTTCCCTATCCGTGACTAAGCCACCCGTTACATACTGTTGTGGTTCTATGGTTTCATGTTCGTGACGGATTCCACGGTCGTGACGGTTTCCACCAGCACAGGCAGACGGCTCACCTTAGACCACCACAGAGAGCTCACTCTGCCCCCACCCCCTCTCTCGCTCTCTCTCCTTCTCTCTTTCTGCTCTAGCCACATCTAAAGCCTCTGTCGAACATCAAAACACCATTCTATGCTAATTCTCGCTACAAGAAAACATGGAAATCCTGAAAGGCTCCAAGTTGTTTGTTCCCTTCAGCCATTTTCTGAGGACAAAGGAAAACACAAAGCAAAGTGAATTGAACGCCTGCTCCAGGCATTGTAAGAATGTGGCTAATTTGACAGCGTAACAGAGGGAATAAAAGGCAGTGGTCTAATGAACATATTTTTCTACTGAAACGCATTAAATCCACAACAATTCTGGAGTTTTCAACCTACTATACTGTAAAATAATAACACCCAGTCTTGTTTCTCTGAGACCTGGAGGCCATGGGAAACTGGGGAAACGGTTTATTTTGGTTTTCTTTTGGCACCACACTGACTGAATGACCTTTAATTAGTAGAGATGCCAGCAGTGCACAGGCTCTGACTGTGGTGGACGTGTGTGTGTGTGTGTGTGTGTGTGTGTGTGTGTGTTTTTGTTTTGTTTATTAGGATCCCCATTAGCTACTGCACATACAGCAGCTATTCTTCCAGGGGTCCACATAAAATATACAAATACACAAAGTACAGAACAGTTATAGACAAGGACATTAAATTAAAATACATTAAAAAAAATATATAAGTGTTATACACTGAGTGTAAAAAAACATTAAGAACACCTGCTCTTTCCATGACAAAGAATGACTAGGTGAATCCAGGTGAAAGGTATGATCCCTTACTGATGTCACTTGTTAAATCCACTTAAATTAGTGTAGATGAAGGGGAGGAGACAGGTTAAAGAAGGACTTTTAAGCATTGAGAAAAATGAGACATGGATTGTGTATGTGTACCATTCAGAGGGTGAATGGGCAATCCAAAAGATTTAAGTGCTTTTGAACGGTGTATGGTAGTAGGTGCCAGGCGCACCGGTTTGTGTCAAGATCTGCAACGCTGCTGGGGTTTTCACGCTCAACAGTTTCCCGTGTGTATCAAGAACAGCCCACCACCCAAAGAACATCGAGCCAACTTGACAAAACTGTGGGAAACATTGGAGTTAGCATGGGCCAGCATCCCTGTGGAACGCTTTCGACACCTCGTAGAGTCCATGCCCCAACGAATTGAGGCTGTTCTGAAGCAAAAGGGGAGTGTTCTTTATGTTTTGTACGCTCAATGTATTCTGGAAAGATACCAACAAACAAAAAAAAAACTATTTACACACTATTTATATATACATATTAATATTCTTTATTCTTACATTACATTTAAATACATTTAAATTAGATCTTTAGAAAGAGGAGATGCGATGTGATATTTGTTTTTTTTAACTAAACTTGGTTTTGCCTAAGTAACCTCTGGTGGCAGAGCATTCCATGACGACATGGTTCTATACATAACTGAGCACCGCATTAAATCTATTTTTGGTTTGGTGAAGAAACAGTGAAGAAACACATAGTGGCGTGTCGGGTGGGGAATGTATGTCTGTTGCAAATAGACTATACAAGTGGTTAGGCATTTTCAACACACAAATGTTTAAAAAGACTGGAAGACAAGTAGTCAATTCCTCCTCAACCATGAAAGACTACCATGCATGTTGTTGATGTTCGTTCTATGTGTGCAGTTAAGGGCAAGGCGTGCTGCTTTGTTTTGAGCCAGCTGCAACTTTGCTAGGTCTGTCTTTGCTGCACTGGACCATATATTACCGGACAGTAATCAAGATCAGAGCCTGAACAACTAGTACAGTTGATCTGTGTCAAAAATGCAGGACAGCTTTTTATAACAGACATACCCTTCCCCATCTTCACAACAACTTTATCAATATGACTTGACCATGATAACTGACCATCCAATGTTACTCATTGGAGTTTGACTTCTTCAACTTGTTCAATGGTCACACCCTTTATGCACAACTCCAGTTGAGGTTTACAGTGAGGGAAAAAAGTATTTGATCCCCTGCTGATTTTGTATGTTTGCCCACTGACAAAGAAATGATCAGTCTATAATTGTAATGGTAGGTTTATTTGAACAGTGAGAGACAGAATAACAACAAAAAAATCCAGAAAGACGCATGTCAAAAATGTTATAAATTGATTTGCATTTTAATGAGGGAAATAAGTATTTGACCCCTCTGCAAAACATGACTTAGTACTTGGTGGCAAAACCCTTGTTGGCAATCACAGAGGTCAGACGTTTCTTGTAGTTGGCCACCAGGTTTGCACACATCTCTTTCATTATTAGATCTTCAATACACAAATATGATGGTTCACTGTTCAATGTTGTCATTTCACTTCTCAGTTTGTCCACTTTACCACTGAAATGGTTATATCAAAAGGTTTTGTTATAAATGACTCATCAGCCTCCCGAGTGACACAGCGGTCTAAGGCACTGCATTGCAGTGCTAGAGGCGTCACTACAGATCCGGTTCGATTCCGGGCTGTGTCGCAGCCGGCCGAGACCGGGAGACCCATGAGGCGGCGCACAATTGGCCCAGCGTCGTCCGGGTTAGGGGAGGGTTTGGCAGGCTGGGATGTCCTTGTCCCAACGCGCTCTAGCGACTCCTTGTGGCGAGCCGGGCGCATGCATGCTGACTTCGGTTGTTAGCTGTACGGTGTTTCCTCCAACACATTGGTGTGGCTGGCTTCTGGGTAAAAAGCGAGCAGTATGTCAAGAAGCAGTGTGGCTTGGCGGGGTTGTGTTTCAGAGGACGCATGGCTCTCGACCTTCGCCTCTCCCGAGTCCGTACGGGAGTTGCAGCGATGGGACAAGACTGTAACTACCAACTGGGGAGAAAAAGGGGTAAAGAAAATACTAAAATAAATGACCCATCAACTTCAATGAACGATGGCGATTCATTGGGTTTTCTGCCCATAATATCATTTAAGGTGCTCTAAAGTCTTTTACCATAGTTTTTTATGTCATTTATCTTGTTTTGGTAATATAATGTATTCTTGTTTTTGTTAAGTTTAGCCACAACATTTCTCAATTTACAGTATGTCAACCAATCAGCTGAGCAGCCTGACTTGTTTGCCACCTTTTTTTGCATCATTTCTTTGAACCATACAATTGATCAATTCATCATTGATTCCAGGGGGCTCTAACAGTTCTCACAGTTAGTTTCTTAACAAGTGCATGTTTGTCAACAACTGGCACGAAAAAATTCTACAAATACTGCATCTGGATTCTCCTCCTTATACACATCATACCAACATACATTTTTTACATCTTCAACAAAAGAGTCCTAAGAAAACATTTCTATGATCTCTTATAAATAACTTTAGTCCCTGCCTTTGGTACTTTGGCTTTCCTTGTTATTGCCACAATGTTATGGTCACTACAGCCAATGTGAACTGACATTGCTTTGGAGCAAAGCTTTGCAGCATTAGTGAAGATATGACCAATACAAGTGGATGTCACAGATCCAACACTATTGGTATACACTCTAATTGGTTGAGTGATAACCTGGGTCATGCTACAGGCATTCGTCACAGTAAGAAGCTTATTCTTGAGAGGACAACTAGATGATAACCAGTCAACGTTCAGGACACCAAGAAAATACATGTCTCTGTTAGCATCAGAGACCTTATCTCACATCACACACATATTCTCCAGATACTGACAGTTTGCACTTGGTGTCCTATTGCAGCTGCCTAAAAGAAGATGCTTCAGATGAGGCAGGTGAACCTGTGACCACAGCACTTCTACTTCATTTGTCAGGAGATCCTCTCTGAGCTTTAAAGGAATATGGCTCTGAATATATAGAGCAACACCTCCCCCATAGACATTCCTGTCTTTTGTATAGATGTTATATCCTTGTATTCCTACTGTATCATCAAAGGTATCATCAAAAGTGCTGTCTAAGTGAGTCTCAGAAATGGCTAATATATTAATATTATCTAAGATTAGCAAATTACTAATCTCATGAACTTTGTTTCTGGGTTGTTTATCTAAAACTGAAGTCATAATGATAATAGATTGTATTTCTAATAATTATATTTCTGATAATAGCAAAGATTTTGGGGGGATATTTGATCAGATTATGTTCAGCAGATGCCTTATCTGGTTAAGCTCAGCTGCAGCAGGGTGCTCTATTCTTCGTGCCACTTCAGCATAGCTGTCTTGCTGGAAAGA